GACATGTCAGATATGTGCACCAAAGTGATCGCCACCATTTGCTGACGCGGCGCGGCAATGTTTACCCGGCAGCGTGCCGCTATGGCTGCCGCTATGGCGCACTGCTCTAGCGCTCTGAGATCCCCGATGTATTTGGTTGGTATGCTGCCTCTCGCACTCTGATTGCGAGCTGCCTCTGCACCTGCTGTTTCGAAGCCAGAGGACCAGAGCGGCCAACCGAATACGCCATAAGCGTCATTGCTTGGACACTGCACTTTTACGAGAGAAAGGAGGCAGGCCCTCCAGCTAAGGAACTTCATATCTCGTTGTGTGAGGTTGGCTGTTTTCTGCTTTCCAGTTATTGGTTCGCTAAACCTTCATTTTGTCGCAGTTTGCTAAACGAACATCGCTGAGAATTTAGGCAGCCTATGGAGACTTCTTCTTTTTAGCAACGATTTCGGCATCGTTCTTTATGAAAGTGGCACGTAACAGAAAGCGTGAGACTTTTAAAAAGTTCTTTAGGCTGATACCACTCGACTTTTTAGCTGAGCGCACTCATAGCGGTTGAGGAGGTCACTAACCTCTGTGCAGACCCATTCCAGTGGCGAAGAGCTTCGGTTTTCACTGTTTTGAACTGGTAGTATCCGACAATGTGTGCTGGCAATATCGCCCCGCTCGAAGAAAACCACGCGAACTTTATATTTATGAGCATCGAAAATTTGTCAGACCAGCGATTGCCAAATCTTGTCTATTGTCAGCATTGTTGTGACGGAGCCATTGCACAATGTAACACAGCTTTGACTCACAGGTGCTCAGACTGCGCATAGCAGGATACCAGAACTCACTTTCTTCTATGTTTGAGAGTATATTTCGGAAGACTAAAAACACCCAGAAAATTAGACTAACGACAAAAGAAAAGGAGTTTCACTATGAAAAGTAGCACAAAAAAAACACAGACGCAAAAAAGGAGCACCACTTCACTACTAATGTAGTGTACAGTATTTCTTCGTCATGTGGTGAACTATATGTGGGGCAGATAAGCCGATGCATAAAGTAACAGTCAAAAAAAGAGAAAAACGCGTGTAGGATGTAAACAAAACCGCACGTAACAGTTGCTTGGCAGTGCACTGCAGTTATTAAAGACGGTAGTCTTTCATGGGGACTTTCCACGGAAAAATTTTGGTCTGTCTGTCTGTCTGTCTGTCTGTCTGTCTGTCTGTCTGTCTGTCTGTCTGTCTGTCTGTCTGTCTGTCTGTCTGTCTGTCTGTCTGTCTGTCTGTCTGTCTGTACATTAGTCTGTTTGGCCACCCCAACGATACCCCAAACGGCACCAAACGGCCAACCCCATCCGCAGCGCCCACCAATATTTTGCTCAAGGTTTAGCGTTCATAGTTGTGCGATTGTCAAATAAAAAGCAATTATTTGGCATAACTGAGGGGCTGTAACAACACGACGATGTTTTGTATGTATGCCTTTATACTAGAAGAGGCATACACAAATAACTCTAAGGAATGTAGCGTTGAATCACTCTGCGGTGACTGTGCAACGCGATGCTCAAGAAGTTGTTTCCAGCGCTTTGCTACGACGTCATGTTGGTGGTACCTGCTCGTCGCTTTGCGTTCTACACCTTATCACCTCTGAGACTGGCGCGCATCTTTCTCCGCGGGCTGCACGCCTTCCTTTTCGAAGATAACTGCCAGATGGCACTTGTGTCTAACGTGCCTAGATGCACTCGTTCGCTTTCGCCACACGCTCGAGGCACTCTAACGCAGCGCCTGCTGAAAACTATTGACCGATTTTCTTGCGCAGAACATCAAATAAACGTTTTGTTCCCTCTCTCCAAACGCAAGACTATCGTCTTTCGACGGCATTTACAGAGTAACATGTAGATTCGGGCCAATTTTTCAGCTTCGAACATCTTTCTAGCAGTATACTGTTTTCAGCAGAAGTCACAACAAGCACACTCGCGAGGTTATAGAGGCAGAAAAGAAATCTTTATTATGTTCAGCCTGAGTCAATACCTCTCCTGAACACCTGATAAAGGGTTGTGCTTTCTTAGAATGTAGTCGGCGCATGTGTGACGGTGTGAGCACAGCATGCACATATGTGGTGTTTAATAAACCTTCGTTCGTATTAGCGCTCATACGTCGTCTCATCTCTTGTTTTTGTGTATGTGTTTTCTGCTCTAAAGGTTGTGTCAGACATACAACCAAGGGATCCAATTTACGAAAGTCCTGAGGAATCACTGTAGTATTTTCGGAAATTCTCTAGCATGCGCAAAAAGATCAACAGACGCGCATGCGTTGAGAAAACACGCAAAAAAGTTTGGTGATTGTTGCCTTAACGTGGTCGATCAAATCACCCTCTCATGCGGTCGTCGCTACATCGGTCAAGTTGGTCGGAGTGGAAATGCCCACCATAGAGAACATAAAATCTGACGAAGGGCTCTACTGACAGCCTCCTAGCTGCAAACAGCTCTGTATGTGGCTGTCACGCTAAGTTTGGTCAGTGGATATTACTAAGGCACTATGGTGAAAAACGAGCCCGTGAATTATATGAGAACCATTGCATGGGAAAGAGAGTAAATAAAATTAGGGAAAGGCAGGGAGGTTTAACCAGAAATAGGAGTATCTGGTTTGCTACCCTGCACTAAGAAAAGGGAGAATGGGAAGAAAGATGGGAAAGGAAGCGAAGAGCGAAGCTGACGCGCGAAAAAAAAAGTGAGCTGCAGTGTAATGAAATGTGCGTGAGTGTGCCTTCGAGAGAACTTCTCACAAAGGAACCTGCGTGGCTTCCTCGTGGATGGTATATTTTTCATTTTTAATTTGACTACACAGAATTAATATTTCTGATCTTGTCACTGTGATGGTCTCCCTAACATCGTTTCATCGATCATGGGCTTATATATACACCTTTGTCCGGAATAAAGGCTTGCTTTCAAGTCAGCGGTCCGTGCACCTCTACCCTTTGTCCTGCGGTAGGTGCCGTGTGTCGCTTTCAAATTACGGAAGACTATGCGAATCGTTGCTTAACTTTGTCTGGTTCTGCTCCTTTAACCACTGTGTACACCCCCTGTACCAGAGCACATACCTTTTCTCTATATATAAGAAAAAAATCTGTTGTAGACCAAAAGCTCGTGTCGCCACACCTTTTCTTCATCTACATATACTAGCGGTTTGACCAGTGATAGTGGCCAGCATGGTAACAAGGCACAAGTTTTGCCGTGACTCAAACAAGGATGAAGTGAACTCAAAAAGTTTTAAAGATAATTAAAAATAAAACGCTGTACTGGTCTTTCATGTTGACACAGTTTAATGACTCTGGTTTCTGGTCCCAAATGTGCGCGTAGCAAATACACAGCCGTTTATAACAATTCCGTGTTTTCTGCTGTCTCCTAGTTAACTAATCAGGAATTCTAACGGAAGTCACACACAAGCCTCATATTTATGCTCGAGGAATCCATCTCATTTACATGACAATATTAACGTCGTTTAGGAGGAGCTAACAAACACAGCTTCCCACTAAAAAGTCAAGTATGAGTAACCCTATTTTTAAATTTTTGACTAAATTTGTAACGGGCGTTTGCCAATGGTCGGCATACTTAAGTCAAGTATATAAAACGTGCGCATAAATCATTTCAATGGTTCATTCTCCCGAAAATTCTCGATGGTCTTCGGGACTAAAAGCTACCTAGGCGGCCTGACTTAGCCCTTGACGACGCCCCCCCCCCCCCCCTACTCACCGCAAAACACCCTCACAGTACAAATGGGCCTATGAGGAGGAAGTACAGGGAGGTTAGCCAGTTCACAGACCGCCTGGCTTTGCTTATAACATACATGAGTAATACTTTATTACGTGCAGTAGAGATAACATCAAGCAATAAACATAATACACAAAAGTTGCAATAGGATTCCCATTAAAATATTTATGACGGCATAAAAAACTTCATTACACACAAAAAAAGAACTGTAATTGCTAAACAAAAATTGGAAACAGCATGCTGTAAACATTCAAGTTACAAGGTTTCTCATACAATTGAAGGTATAAAAACATTTCATGGAATAACATATCGAGTAGTGGTGATAAAATAGAAATAAAATGTGATGTAACAAGACAGGCTACAGTTCTCACAGTCAAGATATATTTACGCCCGAGCTAATAAATAAACGCGAAAAAAAATGGCTGAGTGTGCCATAATTTATGAATAACCGCAAGGCTTAAATATACCTAGTTTTCTATGTATTAGTAAGTGTTGTTCATTATCAGAGAGTCCTCGCTTTGCGTTGTGTTGACAAAAGCACCTGTCTTCGCTTCTTCGTAGAAGTAATCATTGAAAAAAAAATATTGAGGTCACTCAGATGCATGCTGGTGCTGTTAGCCTAACATAATACGCAAGGTAAGAAGTCACAATGCCATATCAGTGTTCCTTTATTCTGTGTTACATACGTATATCTTACACTATTTACGAACGTCCTCTTTAGAGGGCTGCTCGCATAAATACTATATACAAATACTGTGAAAAGAGCTGTAGGGTTCATCAATTCACAGATAGGCCGTCGTTTTGCCATTGGCCCCGTTAGCAGTGACCGCACCAGATACGCTGCCGCGACGCGTAATGCTGGGTGTTCTGTTCGAACAGCTCTCTTTCTTTCCCAGTGTTTCGACGGATACTTTCTTTTTAAGCGTCACAAACAAGGCATTGCACTTATTTTTCGAAGGCTGAAGGCCAAACGAAAACAGTAAATAACAATAAAGGGGGCAATGCCCGCGTTTAAATGCTTCCGCAATATGCTGCTTTCCTGTAGACATTCCACGAGCTGGTACTTTTTCACGGATGTGAGAGTGTTTGTGGGTGGGGGGGGAGAGAAGTTTATTTAGTGGGTAGAAGGGCATGGCACCTGTTCGGGAGCCAGGTGTATATATAAGAGGTCTTTCCAAGTTTTTTAGTGAAAACGTTGCTTCCAAGTCACCAGGTCTGCAAGCACCATACCTGGATACCACGTACACCTTCCACGCCACTACAACTGAAATATGAAGAGCCTCGTAAGACTGGTGCTTTACATTCGTACTCGATGCGTACGTCTTGCAAGATTTATCTCAATTGAGTGAGATATCTCCAGGCTGGAGCCAACGCCTCGACGAGGGGCCTGTGTTGCCAATTGCTATAGGCGGAGAAGGCACATCTCGTTGCTACGAACTTCTCTCTAACTTGGACATTCCTTTCAGGAGCCTAATTGAACAGTAGAGGTGTTTGCAGCCCTATAAAATTTAGTCGTGTTGTTTCTTTAAGGAAGAGCAACGTAATTGCTACCTGCCAGTTGTTGACAAATTTTGCGAGCATTGTTGCTTCAAAGCGGCCGTTATTTATTGAATATACTGCTGTATTACATGTACTGTTCACATATAGAGATATCTATGATTTATACCTGCATGACACCATTATTTTCGAGTGTAACGCAGACGAGATTCGTATACTAAAGTTGGCAGATCATAAACTGATGTCGTGAAACTTTGCGGACAAAATTTGCACTAATTTGTTATACAATGCTAACACTCACCGCGTCGATTATATTAATAACTGTGTAACCTTGTTTTCTTTCCAGTTGTCACTGCTTAGCCTATTCGTTGTCATCGCTGTTGTGGCGGCTGGCTACGGTTATGGTGGTTATGGAGGATACGGAGGATACGGAGGATATGGAGGCTATGGCGGCTACGGAGGGTATGGTGGATACGGCGGCTACGGTGGCTTCGGTGGATATGGCGGCTACGGCGGCTATGGACTCGGCGGTTACGGCGGTTATGGTGGATACGGTGGCTATGGTGGTTACGGAGGCTATGGAGGTTACGGAGGCTATGGTGGCTATGGAGGATACGGACGCGGCTTCTATGGGTAGATGCATCAGTGAAGCGTATTGCGTGTAAATAAATGTTCCAAGCCATGACAGTCGTAATCTTGATTGTCTTTTGTTACTGGTGGAAAATAAATTTGAAGTGGCACCCTTTCTTGACACAGCACAACGAGGCCCACCATTTAGGCTTGCAAAGATACGACCCGACTTTGCAAATAGCAGATAAGTTCGGCCTTGTCTTCCCCTAGTTTTAACGTCGGCTAGACCAAGCGAGGCGTACCTAAGGTCGCGCTGTGAAGCAAGGCACTTGCCACCATGACGAATGCTCTTGTCAAAACGTTGAATGCAGAGATACTCACCGTTGCACAGTTTTTCCACATTATATAGTCTCCATGTTTCTCTGAACATATATATTGTTCGAATGCCAGAAATTGAAGGCAATCAAGAATATACAGTCTTTGCGAACTTGAAGCCACTGCTGTAACATTGTGAAGAATCACTAAAGTCATCGACTACTTGTTACACAAAAACATTCGAAAACATCCGAAGGCATTTTTCCGAACTAGCGACACGAATGCCCATAGCCAACTTGATGAAAACCTCTAATAGAACTTGCACATTGTGGTATTCATTCAGATCAGCCCCAAGGATATTACAAAACAGAATATTTGAATTCTAGTGGTATATTTTGATATATTGGTGGGCCATCACAACAATATGAAACGTTAGAAAGCGATCTCCTAAAGGGACTCTAAACAGTCCAACGATTTCTTTTTTTGCGTTTTAGTAAGGTACAGTTTCGGAATTCCGAGAACACTGCTATCAGCACTTCATGACTCTTGGTAAGCGAGAAAACGTGCAAAAAAAAAAGGTGGAGACGCCACTGTTAGAATTCCGCACTACACCATGGCCTAGTACATTTCGAAGATGTATACTGAGACCTATGTAGCTTCTAATTTGTAAAAAGAAGTGTATTGTCTCTTGTGGGCACCGTAGTCCTAGCATACGAATTTGCATATAATCTTTTGAGGCAATGTTACGAAAACGTGAAAAATAGTTTTGAAATTTTGCTTCGTCACGCACGAAGATTTCAGCGCAAAATTCAAATTGAAATTTTCTCCTTGATTTTATCTTCTAATAATTAACTTATGACAGCAATACTTATGGCATTCGAGCTCTCGAACTGCAGCTTACCAATATAAATCAAGGCATTTTTTTCTATTTGGGGCCCCATTGAAATCCCCAGCAGGTGTATGGGTTTTTGAGCGGACATTACACGTTCAACCTATGACATTCTTCAAAACACTTGTGTATGTCCCGTCTTTTCTCTTTCTTCTAAATGCGAAGTATTTTTTTTTTGTGAGCTGCAAGCACTTTTGGCGTTTATCTGCGCATCTATCTATCGATCTATATATCTAGCCGCTTACATCCGGGTGCTCGCGTGATCACGTCTTTAACTTGACGTGAACCAAATTCAGTATGGGAGGTTAAGCTGGTTTGGCGACTATGACGTGCTGGCCGATACGTGAATAATGTCACAATCTTGTCACGTACGTCGTGAAACGTTTTCTGCTAAACAACTGCACATACTCGTGGGTGCGTATGTGCCACTGGTGGTTGACACTTAGTATCTACCCGGGAATGACGAGAACACACATCGGCAATTTTGACTCAAGAGTGTTAAGAGAAACCTAACATCGGCAGCGTTGACCCGATGAATACAACAAATAAATGTCAGGGTCCCAGCAGGAATGGAACCCGAGCATTCTGCGTGGCAATCAAGCATTCTACAACAGAGCCGCGCCAGGACTCAGAACTAGTATTCAAATAGACCCTATTGTTTTTGAAACGTCAACTGCGGAGGCAGTGCTGGCTATCCGATTTTATAAATATTACATATGTACTCCTATGATTATAAACATTACATACGTACTCCTAAGTACCAGGTGTCACTCCCATCACCTCTTCAGCAACACCGACAAAGTCGTTACCGTATCATGACCTAAATTCACATGACCCACCCGGGCAGCTCGCCGACAAATATGAAGAATATTTAAGGAAATACCCAATTTAGTAATATACTTACAATCATTGTGTAGTGTTCACATGCAGGTTACTACAAGTTTTCTTGGCCAATCCTCCAGAGTGGGTATGCGCCAGTGTCCACAGGCAACAAACAAAGAAACAAACAAACTAAACTTCTATTGAAAAGGCAAGGATTGTGAAAAAGCTTTTCCCTTTATTCCCTTCAGGATGGACTTATGGAGCCTGGTAACACTAGGAGGTAGAGGGTGGGTTGCATTTCGCGAGCTGCCTTCTTACAGTGACACTATTAGAGGGCACAATGTTCGTAATTCATTATTTGACTTGGCGATAAAGATATGCTCAATACCTTTCTTACGGAAAAAAAATTCGTTCTTGATTGAAAATAATCCTGCAATTGCTCAGAACCACTTTCTTAAATAGATTGGTTTCTATGGAAAATGGTGCAGTTGATGCCAACTAGAGGCCACCCCGAGAACATTTATGCATCTAGCAATAATAAACGTTCTTGATGAGCAGCAGTATGTCAAATTCCACCTTTGACATTACACAGTGTGTACTTGAATATTCTCTCTTCTGCTCTTTGTACTTGATACTATCTCCTTTTTTTTAAATTTCCATAAATGTCACAAAAAGTATAGAAATTGCATGCTGAAACTTCGTAGATAGGCCTTTGATATGTCTCACTCGTCCTTTCATCTGTCATTGCGTATATATTTTTGCGTTTCGTTTCATTCATCGTCTAGCACGGTTCACCGTAGACTGTGACATGATTCATTTTACTGTGAACAAACGTGTTATTGTTTTCGTCCATATTTTTGCCTGTTCTTTTAAGTCGTTTGATTGTGCCATTATGATTGCGCCACGTGCACCACCAGTAGATGTGAACTGTGATTATTATCCGCATGTATTTTTTACATTCTTCTCCTTTTTTGTTTTCCGGTTTGGTTGGTTTATTCATATGCTATCTATCTCCCTAAAACACATTGCCTCGTCTTTTGAGCATGAGCCTTGAAGTGCTCTATCAAAGGTGTTACAGAGATAAAGTTACTTTTAATACTGTGCCATCATAAATATGAATTGAAGGGTGGGTGCAATAGGTGACTGCATATGGGAAAACTTTACACAGTCTACAATCAGCAAGTGCTATTATATTTTTTACATGCTTGTTCACTCACCCTGTAGTGTTCCCTTGCATCAACTAAGTTTGCGGAAAAGATGCATTCTAAAGCGTGAACACTTTGCGATTTGATTGATTGATTTGATTGATATGTGGTGTTTAACGCCCCAAAACCACCATATGATTATGAGAGACGCCGTAGTGGAAAGCTCCGTAAATTTGGACCACCTGGGGTTCTTTAACGCGCACCCAAACCTGAACTAACGGGCCTACAACATTACCACCTCCATCGGAAATGCATCACTTTGCGAAAGATCGTTCTAACCACTCGCTGCATTAAGCTAAAAAAAAGCTGGTGCGCCGAGGCCTAATTGATAGAATAAAAACACATGTAACTCCTTGGAGCTCAAACGTCACTTTACGCCCATTGCGTTACTAGTACTACACCTGTATTACATTTCACTTTTTAAAGGCTCTCCTGCAACAAATTTAGTTTAACAAGATTATGATTACACTCTATACCTGATGTCTCACGCTCCCCTGAACTAGCGGGCCCGAGTGACAAGATTTAGGCCTGACAGGGGAGACAGTGTAGACAGTCAGAGCGAAGAGAAATATAGAAAAGAAGCAATATGTCAACTAACGTTGCTATTACAAAACAGGTATTTCTGACACATGCATGTGCGGCGATTTATGAATGGGATTAAGCTTCAGGATTTCAGAAACATGTCGATATTGATAGCCACATTGGCTAAAATATGTGTGTGATTTTGAAATATAAGAGTTTTTTTTTCATCATTATCTTTCAACACATGGTGAACGCGTGGGGTGCCACACGAACTAAAAAGAGGGAAAAGAACATTCAGGTCATTTCTGTCTCCATAACGTACGCGGACGATGGGTTACTAATTGCAATAGGCGATTGAATATGTACCACGGTGAGAAGTATGTAGGAAGGTTACAAAGACTTTAAGCCTTGTGAAGCCACGTATCCCACATGGCCTACGAGCCTGGTGTTTGAGAACCCTATTTTATACGAGGAAAAGTGTATAATTCAGAATTCGTTTGTCAGGCTGTTAGCTTTCTGCCTTTACTCCTATATACTGGCTGGAACAATGGAATGTACATACACCTGGACTATAATGCTGTATACAACGAACAATGCTTGGTCACATAGCATGACTGCTTTTTTTATGACAGGGTACTGAGTTTACGCTGTCCATATTAAATTTATCTGCTGACAAAACTTTCAAGAAAACTATCTACCATACCCGGTCTTTCTATGGCATTCTAATTGCCCAATGATTGAAGCATGAAGTGCCTAAGAGAGAGGGATTGTGTCAACTGCAGCAAAGAAGTATTTTGGGACCCTCAAGTTTCACCTCTAGGAGTTGAACGCGATAGCAATATTATGTTCCCAGTGCGTACTTCAAAAACTTAGTGTATGAAATGCTTTCGTACTTGCGATGATATACGTGGCGTTAAAGATTCAGTATCGCGCATGAATTTTGTAGTGCATCACTGGCTTTAAACTGCAAAGTCATGATAGTCACATATTCTTACGCCCGACGGCAATGTAGCTTGTACCACGATTATTACGGAAGTATGTGATGTTGTATTGTGAAGCATGTACACAGAACGCATCTTTTTGTAAAGCGTGAAAGTTACTTTCACTGAATTTCCAAGCAGATGAAGTTACGTTCACTATATGCACAAGCAAAGGCGTGGCTGTGGGATAGAACACCCACTTACAACTATAACGACATGAGTTCGATTCTCATTCAGACCAGAAATATTATTATTTATTTCATGTGCCTCTTACTGAATTTTAGGGGCGAAGCTCCTTAGGGCGTGGGCTGTGCGTCCCCTGTAGCCTGTATGGAGCCACCTCTAGTTTAGTTCTTGCAGTG